ATTGAGCGGCCAAAATGAATTTAAAAAATACTAAAAGAGATGAAAGCATAATTTTTTTATTAAACCAATTTATAGTTATATAATTTCTTCAATGATATATTTATAAAATCTTACTTAACAAATAAGTATAGATATATTAATAAAAATTTATATGTAAATTCATTAATTTTATGTTTAATAAGTTTTAGTTGTTTGTTAAAGATTTATATAGAAATATAAAAAAATGGTACGAACCAAACGACCTTAGTGATAAAGGAATTGTTGTTATTCTTTAAGGTCCCGATTCAAGCACCATAGGTGTGAGCGTTCAATGACATATGATCGAGAGTTATCTTTAAACAGATACTATCATGTACGTATCTTTTTAATAAAAATATAGAAACACGGTAGTATAATATAGTAATATTTCTTATCATGTTTTTTCGAGTTATATTGACATATATATTATTTACATAAAGCCTACTAAGAATCAAAGGATACTTAACACTAATAAAACCCACGTCTAATTTGTCAGGATAATTAATTAAAGTTAGTTTGTTTTAAGTATCCGATTGTTGTCACGTTTTCTTGTTTGATCAGCTATAAATGCTTGTCCAATGTCCATGCTTACTGGAATTGTGGAACTGTCATGGCATCCATGATCTTTCCCTGCATTTTCTTCGTTCAATACTTAGCCATCGCTTCTAAATCCGAAGCTAAAGTGTCAGCAATCATCGTCTTCGGAGATTCATCCGTTGATTCCGGCAACAACAATTTCATCCCAACAATCGCCAAAGGCAATTTCGAGCCTTATGGCCGCGATTTTCCCGGCGGCACTCCCACCGGCAGATTCTGCAACGGCCGACTTCCTCCGGATTTCATTTCCAAGGGATTTGGACTGAAACCTATTATTCCTGCCTACTTGGATCCTGCCTTTAACATCTCTGACTTCGCCACCGGAGTTTGCTTTGCTTCTGCTGCAACTGGCTACGACAACGCCACGGCTGATATACTGGTAGTTGAACCAACCATTAAAAAAAATGATTATTGAAGGATGAAATTGTACATTAATTGATTTTTATGGGCCATTTTGACAGAAAGTGATTCCTCTGTGGAAAGAAGTGGAATACTACAAGGAGTACCAGAAGAAACTCCGAGCTTATCTCGGTGACCGGGCGGCGAATGAGGTAATCTCCGAGGCACTGTATGTTAACAGCATAGGAACCAACGATTTCGTCGAGAACTACTACGCGCTTCCCAAAAGGAAGTCCCAATTCACTGTTCAACAATACGAGGATTTCCTAATCGGCATTGCCGAAAATTTAGTTAGACAGATTTACAACCTCGGAGCTCGCAAGTTGTCCCTGACCGGACTCCCGCCAATGGGTTGTTTGCCCGTGCAGAGAAAGACGAACTTCCACAATCCTCTTAAGTGCTTGGAGGAACGCAACAAAGTAGCCTTGGAATTCAACGGCAAGTTAAAAGCTACGGTGGCGAAGCTCAACAAGGATCTTCCTAGGTTAAAAGTGTTCTTCGCTGATGCTTATAACTTGCTTTTTCAGCTCATCACAAAACCCTCCCAGTCTGGTAAGTTTTTAAAGCATATTTAAACGTATACAATATTATATTGTGCATGTACTTCAATTTTTAGTCAGTTTCTAGTATGTTTGGTTGAGTGACAGGATTTGAGGTTGTCGAGGAAGGGTGCCGCGGAACAGGGTTGTTCGAGACGGGGATACTGTGCAACCGGCACACTCCACTCACATGCCCAGATGCGAACAAGTATGTGTTTTGGGATTCCATTCATCCCTCTCAAAGAACAAATAAGATCATCTCGGACCAGTTAGTACCACTCCTCAAACAACTCTTTGCGTGATTTCCCCGACAAATAGGAATAGACAGCCGATTGACGAGGAGGATCATTGTTTAAAAATTTTAAATTATATATTTTTATATAATTTAGACATATTTTTATAATCTTTATTAACAATATATTCATACATATGTTCATCTTCTTATTTTATTGGTGTTGGTTATGGAAATTCATAATTGTTGATTGGAACCTATGAAAGTGATTTAAAACCATAGTCATATCGTTCTCAATGGTCGATTGTATCTAATCAATGTTGCAACCGATATTATCGTTCTTAACAAAAGCAAAGAGATGGATTGACCATCAACTACGAATTTGTTGGCTGAAATAATAAAAAGTTAAATTACACAATTAGTCGAGATTTTGAAGGCACCCATCTAATAACAAACATCGTATTAATAAAAAAAATCCAACAGCTCGTCTGGTGAAACATTGATGAAGAGGATTGACATAGAGCATTGGGGGTGACAGGCAATGGCTGTGGAGTGTGTTGAGGAGGAGAATGGGGGTGACCGGCCAACTAGGCAATCAAGTCGTTTCAAGATATGATTCTGTTCAAGTACCGAAGCTGCGTTGTGGTTAATCATGATGGAGGCCTGAGCAGCCCAGTGATGTTGTCCTTGTAGCGCTACTGTTTGGGTTTTGGTTGCAAGCCCTTGTCTACAGCCATATTTGTTTGGATCTACAAAATTATTGTTTAAAAATTTAATTAATGTTTTAATAATAATTTGAAAATAAAATTAAATATTAAATTTTATTGACATTGACATTGACCTATCAATTTAACATGATGATAGTAAATTAATCATTTTATTATAAATCAATAATATCAGTACCAGTGATTGCAATATAATTTTTAAAACTTCAGTGATTAAAAGAAATTTTTATCTAAACATTAGTGATCATTAGTATGATTTACCATATTTTTAGGGGCTTTTGTTTAAAATTTTATTAGGGTAAACTATAGAATTGATCGTTTTTATTTCAGTTTTATAAACGTATTATCACTCGATTTAAAAAAATCTAATTCGTAGTCATTTCTATTTAATTTTAATTAAGATGTGGTCACTTACTCTAAACGGACGTTAAATGTTTAATTATTTGATGATGTGACACGTTAATAAAATAATTTAATTTTTGTTTTAACACTTAAACATTAGGTAAAATTTAATTATGGACTTTTATGTAAATCTAAAGTAATTGAGGGAAAAGTTGCAATTTACCCTTTTTTTTAATATGCTTTTCTTCTTAATTCCCCTTACACCGCACACCCCATCTCCTCCTCCAGCTATGGCAAAACTGCCGTCAAACATCAACCTCCTGGCCATCCGATCCGAAAGCAACCGCATACTCCGTGCCGACTTCCGTCACTTCTCTCTCCTATTCCTCTTTCTCTCCCCCATCTCTTCGACCTTTAATTGGGGATTTCGATTTGTGGCGTAAATGCTTTAGTAATTGTAACAAGTAGCAGCAGCAAGAAAAGTAGTAGTCAATGTTTAGCACTGCATGAGAGAAATTTCAAGTTTTTAAGTATAGTTTCATCCAGGTACTTAAAGAGTCGTTGATTTGTTAAGATTTTGTTTGATTGTCGTTTTTTATTATTAGAAAAGCTACTAAAAAGGAAAAGAAAATGGTAAAAACTGGAAGGCAAAATTATTACTCCATTGATTTAACAAGGGGAAAAAGGAGTAAAGTGCAACACTATGTTTAACATGTTTGTTCTGTAAACTAGTAATTGTGAAATTCTTAATTCTTATTTGTTCTAATATGTAAATTTGTTTTTTTTAATCCTTCAAATTATAAAGCAAGAACTAAACAGTCTGTTAGGGGATTAGATTATTAGTGGAAGAGAAGCGAGTTACTTGGTTTTGAGAGTAACGATCTTCTGTTCACTTGTGCAGGTTTGGCTGTTCTTGGTAGAATTATAGAGAGAAAAATATGTTTAGTTCTGATAATAATTTAGAATGTGGGCTTGTCATCAGATATGCCACCGTTGCCTCAGTGTTTGCCTTTGGAGCCAATTTCATTAAGCAGTCAAAAAAAATACTCGGTCTGGAGAATTATGCTGGGTGTTGGGCGTTCCTCTTCGAAGCCTTACATCAGATGATCATTCTTTTGGAGTTTCACACCCTAAACCTTCCCCTCCAGTGGCGACAGAGGAGCTTAAGAACTTTAAGGAAAGTGTTCAAGATACCCTAAACTTTCTTGATTTGTCTTCCTTCTCTTCTTTCATGATATAGGTTGATAAGAGAATTGCTGTGAATCCTAGGCCGCCGGGGGGACAACAGAAAAGAACTTTAAGGAAAGTGTTCAAGATAACCAGGTGAACGATGGGAGACAAAGATGAAAAGGAAACGATCTGTTGCAGTCGTAGGAAATAGAGTTGCTGGTGGTGACCGTGATGAAAAACGAGTTATGCAACCAAAGCTGAGTTATGACAAAGTTGCGATCATGTGATGCACAGGGTTTCAGATGATTGTCTAGGAATGAACTAGTATTCTAGTTGATGATTTGGGAAAGAATGCATCTCATTTTGCTGGGCACTGTGTATATTTATTAGTTTTCGATTCAAAGTGTATAACCACTTGCTTTTGGGATGCGTTCCTGAATGCTTGACAAAGATATTATTGTTTTCTATTGAAAATTTAGGAAGATTTCTTCTCCTACTGTACCTTTTGCCTTGTTTCTGCAATTGATTATTTCCTTGTGTTTAGGCTTTTTCTTTATAAATTATTCCAACTGCCATAGTTGGAGGAGGAGGAGCGGTGCAAGGGGAATTAAGAAGAAAATCATATTAAAAAATGATAATGGCAAACTTGTCCCTAAATTATTTAGATTTACAAAAAAAAAGTCCATAATTAAATTTTATCTAAAATTTATGGGTTAAAAGAAAAATTAAATCATTTTATTAATGTGTCACATCATCAAATCGTTAAACCTTTAATAATAGTTTAGGGTAAATGAACACATCTTTATTAAAACAAAACGAAAGTGACTACCAATTAATTTTTTTGAATTGAGTAACTATACTTAAGAAAACTGAAACAAAAGTGACCAACTTTGTAGTTTACCATTTTTATTATGATAAATCATTGCTATAAACGGATGGTCTGAAATGTTTGTAGGATCTATATATTGGTATGAAAAGTTACATTTTCCTCTCTTAACGCGAACGAAGTAATATAACCTTAACAAAAACTGCATGTCATCATTTGAATCGATGACATACACGTCAAGCAGATCTTTATTCCAGCTGAGAATTACAATCAACACAGCATGATTCCCAGAGAAAAAGCTCTAAACTAAATGCCATTATTTTTCTTGATTTTAGACATCTGTGTTTTCATTAAATGTAAACCTGAGATTTCAAGGAAGAGCAAGATATGTATAGTCAGAACGAAACGACAGACTTGGAATGTGAAGATGGTCGCAGCTGAGACTGAGCTGTGTCACCTTTATCAACCTCATCAAGACACATCCTTGGTTGGTCAACATGCTTCCTGTAATGTTGAAACAAAAATTACAGGATCAGAATTACCAGTTATTAAGACAATTTCAACTTCATCTGAATAAAGGATCATATTAGAAGGGACTTGTTAGAGTCTTCCAAACATTATAATCAGACTGAGATAGCCCTCCATCATCTCTTTGAACTATGTTACTCGGTGTGTAAGAGTCCAATATAGGTATAACACAAGTATGTTCTACTTTTTAAGTTTTTCCGTATGTTAGAGCTATATCCGACTGTATCAAGCAGAAACACTTTAAAACCAATAAGAAAAGTCGAAGCTATATAGTTTAGCAAACCAAGGGGTCAATGATGCAGACATCCCACCTAATATCATCCCAAAACTAGTTAATATTTAAACTAGGTAAATGCTTCTGCAAAGTACTTTTCTCACTCACACCCTCAAACAAAGATTATTGCCATAGCCCTGAATTTAGTTAGCTTCTCGCATGAGACCTCGTTTGTTCACGTTTTTGACAGAAGATGTCAAAGCAAAGTGAACATACTTTTTCAAATAATCCGGATGATTACAAGGTAGTATTTATTCAGAATTTTTCTTAGTCCATTGACTATACTCCGTAGATAGACGCAGCTACTCAAACCCAACTTCTTTAGAGAAAACAACATTATCTTTTACTGCTTGGACCACTCTAGATATGAATCTACTTCACGTTTACTAAAATCAATGCCCCACACCAAGATATTTAGGAAAGTAGAAAACAAGAGAAAGCTGATATTTGATTTAGTTACGGAAGTACGACGGGAAAGACACTTCCGTATTGCAAGTGCATAAAATCTAAGCTAATATACCATCATAGGCAATGAATTTAGCAAGCAAAGAGTACACATACCTCTGAGAGATGAGAGTCTCATCTGACAAAGCCTTTTCCAGCCTTTCTTCAAATGGGGTTGCATGCCAACTCACTTTCTGATCCTGCAAACAGGACAAGGATCCATAAAAAATAGGTCCATACTGCAAGTAGAAATAGCAGCGGGAAGAAAAAAAGATTCACCTCCTTGTATTTGGTAGTTGAATTTGGGATTCCATTGCCATCCCACCACTTGGGTGAGATGCGGGAAGACTCATCCTCTTTCCAGTGTGCAGCCACCAAACCAATGATGGGTCTATCCCCTGGGGTTTTACTAATATGAGGGGTTTTGCTGAATGTGACATGAAGATTCTTGTTGGGATCATCCATGGCATTCTGTTTTGGCTTCAACCAAGAAGACAAGCCTCCATCCTCTGAATCTTTCAAAAGTGAAGTTTGTTTCACTCCCACTTCTAGCTTTGGGATGGCATTTTCTAATCGTTCATGAGATTCTTTCAGCTCATCAAACATCTCTTTGGAACTAAATGCCTCTTCCTTCATTGCATTATGAACATATTCGGACCGAATTCTAATCTTCCCGTTTGCCAAGGTTTCCATGTTTGAGGGAAAAACAGTTCCTGGGGTTTGCATTCCATCAAAAAGCTTTAACGGGGTTGGGTTTGGCGAGTGTTTTGATGCACTTAGATAACCTAAAGCTTCAAGTTTCTCTGGATTTTGGCCAATATTTTCAGATTTAGAAGAACCATCAGATTCAAATTCAAATTCAAACCGAACAGACTTGTTGTTCTTTCCATAAGCAGAAGTTGAGATGACATCGATCTCGACTGTTTTATCAGTAGTCATAGCCTCACTACCTTCAGTAGAACTCATGGCAGACATCCCAGTGTTTGCTGCATCCGATATACAGCTAGAAAAGAAAGAAATAGAACCATTCAATCGTCAGCCAGCCTTAAAATTACAACGAAGATGTATCTCAATATCACACAAGAAAAATTTGCAGATGGAAATAGTTCTGTTCATTCTAAGATAAATACTGTCATCCGCAAAACAATTCTGCTTCAATGAGAAGCCGATTCCATATTTTGATTACTTGACTAATATTCTGAAGGTTAGAAGTTAAAACCGTTAACCTGCTAGGAGTGTTCTCCGTAGAATCCGACCTCTCCAACGCCTGGAAAAGTTTATTTGGAGTAGGTGGGTGATCAGATTGCTTATCCAACTTAAACTTATCAATGGGTGTGTTTGGAAGCCATGAACGAAATTTAGAAGTCTCTGAATCTACAACACAAGGTGGGGACTGTTTAAACTTCTGAGATGCTTTGCGAATTGCAGCCGGAGTCTCTGGTATTGTGCCACAAGCTTTGAGGAATTTTGCCTACGGGAAGCTAAATAATTTTAATTGATTCGCATCGAACATTTAAAAAAAGTCTAAATCAAATTGCTCAATGAAAATACCTCATCCATGAGACTTTTATCAATTTGTGGAGACTCCAAATCCTTGGATGAAGAATCTCTTTTCTCTTTTACAACCAAAAGAAAAAGAACAATATTGAAATTAGCTAACTCGACTCATAACATAGAGAGATATTGTGTATAGATATACTTACCACCATCAACAAAGAGAGATGACAACCGATCTCGAGAAACTGCATGTTCCTGACCAGCAAAACGGAAAATATAGAAAGACTATGAAAGAAAATGTTTCTTGAACTGAATTTTCCGAGAAACCAAACAAAGGTATGAGAGAACTGGGAAAAAGAAAGTGAAAAAGTAAAACTCACGATGGACTTTGACAAGGAAGGGACTATATGAGGGCGGGAACGATCGTTTCTGACGCCAAAGCATTGGAAGAAACACCCCATAGCTCTGCACACCGTCTGATCAAGAAATCTCACTGCTGATCTCGTGATTGTCCCTAACCCTAACTCCCGATTCAGGAAACCGCATACCATTTGATTTATTAGATTTTTGGTTTTTGGATTATTCTTCCAGAACTAACAACCGCTGATTTAACAGAAAAATGGAGAAGAAGGAAGGAGTGTTGTGGTGTTGTTTTTTGAATTTTGAAATTCAAGAAAGCGAGGGAAATATTATTATGATTTATGGCTCTAATTGTTAATTAAGAAAAAACACACTACCAAATTAAAGCTTCTCAGCTGTATGATTTGTCATTTGCACTCGCTGCATGGGAATGCCACGTATGAAATTGTTCAATTGTGGTACTTTAAATTATTAAGAGTGTGTTTGGTTGGGGGAATGTGAGATTCTCATGGGAATGGAATCCACATTCCCCCGTTTGGTTTGCCATGAATGTCATTCCCAGTAATCTTACATTACCAATAGTGGATTTTTTGGAGTATATTACCGGGAATGTCATTACCTCTCTTTTCTTAAGTATTGTTGGATTATCAACGTTTTGGACTAAAATGCCCTTAAAAAAATTTCTTACAAAAATATCATTATCTGTCATTGAATAATAAAAATTCTACGAAGGTTAAATTACAAATTTATCCTTAAACTATTTTAGATTTATAAAAAATTCTATAATTAAAATTTTATATGAAGTTCAGAGGTTAAAATAAAATTTTACCCTTTCATTAAACCTTTCTATATTTTTAATTTTGTAAAAAAAAATTATATAAATTTTATGAATTTAAATTTTTTTAAAGAAAATATATAAATATTGTTCAACTTGTTACAAAAACAAATATATAATAAGGACAATTTGGTTAAATATACATTCCAATAATTTTTTATTCCTTTAACCAAACACGGTAATCTTAGATTCCTGCTAAACCAACCAAACACAAAATACAACATTCTCAGTAATTTTATTTCCTAATAATCTTTTATTCTCACTGATAATCTTACATTCCATAAACCAAACGCACCCTAAATTAGTCCTATACCAGAATGATAATAATGGTGTAAGGATAGCGAGTAGAAAGTAGATTGTAAAATTGAGCAGGTGAACCTGTTATAGAAGGAACGCCCTTATACCATTCTTACTTCTCACTATTAACGCTTATTAGGCATATAATCATAATTTGCCGTTTGGCACTAATATTTTTTTTATTTTAATTAAAATTTCCCCTCTTATTTAAATTGTTGAGACCAACTTAGAAATTATACATGACATCGGTTTTGGCCTAATCACATTTTGAAATTTCCTAAATCAGATTTTTGGCCTTCGAATTGGTTAGAATGTTTGTTTTATTTTTTTAATTTAAATTTTATTCATTTTTTTAAACATAAGTACTAATTTTATATAAAAATTTGAAGGAAAAATTAAATTTTATTGACAATTTCATTAAAAATATGTTTAAAGAATAGTAAAGGACAATGAGTGATTTTTCAATGAAAATATTTAATTTTCTTAATAATTTATTTAAAAAATAAATTTTAGTTTTTATATTTATAATTTACATTAAATTGGATAACTATACTAAATGTCAATAAATTTTAAGTAATATATTGTTTATACAACTGAACTTTTAATTTCTCCAATTATAACATTGAATTATGGTTTTGACTTCAATTATGTTATTAAACCGCTAAATTTTAACAACACGATGGTGTGGATGTTTCTTTTTGTTATTGTGATCATGTGGACAAAATGATATCGTTTTTGCGACAACTATTGATGCCGAAAATGATGTTGTTTTAAACACTAATCTTTAGGGTGTGTTGATTTTTAACACTAAACTTTTAAGTAGTTTACTTTTTGGCATTGCACTTTTTTGGTCGCCCTCGGTAGCCAATTACCAATCGTCCTTCGCAATAAAATTAGTACTAAAATATTTTTAGTTTACTTTTCTTTCTTCTCTTAAAGTTGATTTTCTATGAAAGCGACTCAAAATTGATAAAAATTAAACAAAAAAATCTATCATTTTAAGGGTAAAAACGACTATATTTTATTTTAGTTTTTTTTAACAATTGCTACCTAGAGGGAGGGGGAAGGGGAATTTTGCTCCTAACAAATATTGAACCCATAACCAAGGGAAAGAGGAAGTGTCAACTGAGAACTTTTAACCATCTGCTCTAAAGGTTGTTGACTATTCTTTAAAAGGTATAACCTAGTATTTTACTAATAAGGATTTTTCATATTAACTTGTTACATTTTAATAGATACATTATACTCTAAAAGGATGAGAACTTTTAACTCTTAATAGTCGATGGACTTAACAAAGTAATACTCCCCCTTATTTTAACACTTGAATAATTTTAAGATTTTCTTTGAAAATAAATTTTGAAATCAATGTTGAAAAATTTCTCCCCCTTACTTTAACACTTCTCCCCTTTAAAACATTTTAACACTTACCACTTCTCCCCCTTTTTGTTAAATCAAAAAGACTCAAAAATCGATTTAAACAAGGTTTTGAAAAATATAGCCAGTTAATTATAAGTAAATAAGATTAAGTTACTAAGATCACAATCAAAAGAGAGATTAGCTTCATAATCAATATTCATAATCAAAATGTGAAATGACATAATTGGTCATAATGAACTAATATGATGCAAAAATTAATAAACATTAAGCTCATAATAATAAAGTTAAAATCAAACCAAATATATATAATAAGTTCAATCAACCAAGCATCCAAATCATAACTCTTAACAAATTCAAACATTTAAGGTTCCAAAATTAACAATCCATAAACATCAAAAACAAATATCAATCCAAGTTTGAAATCCAAGAAAGCATGGAAAAAGGTCTAGTCCATCGAAGGGTCGGGAGGAGGAGGAAAATGAGCTCGAACTTCAAGAGTGAGAGCGTCCATACGTTCGTGCATCTCCCGCTGAAACTCAGTAACCTGAGACTCCATGGAAGCAAACCTCAGATCAAACGATTCTAAGAAAGATCAAAAATATAGTGGCGTTTGATCTTCTTGCTGTGCTAGTTCCGGTGCTGGAGGAACATCATCAGGAACTTCTTCATCGATATCTTGCATGAGTTGTTGAAGTTCTGGATCATCGTCTACAGCAGGAGCCGGAGGAGGAGGAGCACGAGAAGAACTAGGAGCAGCTCGTGAGGAACTAGCTCCCTGAGTTTGCTTAGAAGGTCGAAATACCCACTGACCAGTTACCTCGGCTTTTTTCAACGAAATGAGATTGATTGGGTTTTGAAGAGGAATAGGATTGTCAAGAGAGACGTCTAGACCGAGTTTGATAAAAAGGTTACTAAGAAGACATCCATAAACTAATGTTTCGACATGTTTTGAAGGAACAGTGTTTATGATATCCACTAGTTGACTAAAAATAATGTGGGGCAGATTTATTTTGTTTTTATTTTTGAGACAGTGCATCCACCATAAATCCATAGCACGTAGAGTAGAGTACCTACCTCCAGATGGTCTAAACCCCCAAGAGATCATCAAATGAAGAAAACGATCGTGATGAGAACGTAGAGTACTAACACTAGCGTTTGGAACATATGGATAATCCACAGTTTCATTCTCATTAAATAAACCTTCGTCATCTAACCCAAAACGGAAAGCTATAGTCTCGGGATCAATAGTAACATATTGTCTTAAAAGATATGATCTGATTGCTATAGTCCCACACTGAGTATTGTTTTGAATAAATACCGCATTAGAATAGAAAATACGGACTAACTGATGATAGACAATAGGTTTGAGACGAAACATTTTATCAAACTTCCAAGTTTTAAGAATCGAAAGGTATTCGAAGTCAATATCTATCATGTCTTGACGAGAAGGAATACGCTCTTCCCGGATTCTATAGGATTGGAAAGACTCCATGTACCTATGGTACAAGTCGTCTCTACGACGCTCAGGGTATATTGAAACAAAGTCCTAAAAGACTATTAGGTAGAGGAGGAACGAGATTTGGAGGTCGGTTTGAACGACTAGATGAAGTCCTGGGGCGCTTGGGATTAGACATGGTTTAGGAATCGGAGTAAAGAATATAACCTGTAATTTCGAAAAACATGTATGCAAAATAATCAATCCCAAAACTCAAATGAGTCCGCAATAATTCAAGGTTATTTAAACCAAATCCTAATGGGCATAGTTTTTGAAAAACTAATTAGCAAACAATGTTTGAAACTTATAATATGTATAGTTTTTCATGAAGACAACATAATTAAATCAAAAACATCAAATTTAAAAATTAAAATCAGAATTTCAATTTTTTTATTTCAAAAATTCAAAAATTTATTGAAAATTTGTGAGTTTTTGATGAAATTAGTTGTAAAATCTAGTTTATAATCATCAAACAATCAATGCTCGATATAATGTTCATCCTAGAACTAATATAAACTAGTCCTAAGATCAAAAATCAATAAAATAGAGTTTTTGAAACATTACCTTGAAAATTTTCGGATTTGAGGGAATGTGATGTTGTTTTGCACGATTTGATGATTAAAGCAGAATTAGGAGATGAAAAGCTCAAAGATTCCGACAAAATTTCGTTGATTTTGAGCAAGAAGAGATTTTAGAGAGTGAGAGGGATGAGTGGCTAGAGAAGTTTAGTTTTTAGGGTTTGAAACAAATGAGAAAATAAGCCTTTTAAACCCAAAACCCAACGGATGCATCGATGCATGACCCTGTGCATCGATACACATTCAAGGCGTGCATCGGTGCACCTTCATGGTGTATCGATGCACATTCAAGGGGATGCATCGATGCACTGTTAAGTGCATCGATGACTAAGCACAAAAATGTCAAAAATCCGTTTTAAACACTCAAAATGCTAAATCAATTAGCTCTAGTGGTATTGACAACTCATATATGGAAAATTAATCATGTTCAATCAATCAATTTAATCCTTAAACTACATTTGAACATAAAATTAATTTTCACCAAATAAAATAAACTCCCCCTAACTAATAGTAAAGAAT